TCAAGCCTCCCACGAGGCAAGTTTGAGGGACCAGGAACACGTCAGGCTCACCTTCCATTCATCAACCTCGTATCTCAGGTTTTCCAGCTTCTCCTTCAATACCCGCTCCCGCTTCTCCGACGCCTCGATATCCTTCTCCAGCTCCGCTTCCAGTTCCCGGCTGGAAGCCTGGAACTCCGCCAGTTCGGCTTCTAACTGTTCATATTGCGCCTTGTAATAAGCGAGCTGATCAGACCGCGAGCTGGTCCCGTTGGGGCGGGCGGACGAAGAAGCGTCGGCCGATGGCATGATTGCGGCACCAGCAGACGAAACCGGCGATCGGAACGCACGCTCCAGGGGACCACGTCAGAGAGACCCCGGGAGAAGGGGGGGAGATTTATAGAATGGTTTGGATGGGAGAAGGGGAGGCCAGGGTCGAGAGCATGAACACGCGGGCAGTCACAACAACCGTGCGTGAACTGGTGGTGATGGCGGAGGGGCCGAGGCGGTGTCGCAGGCAGCCGGGAACGCTTGCGACGGTGAGAAGGCGTGGACGCCAGGAAAGAGACAGGACGAGGCGGGCGAGTAGAAAGGACCAGATCGCTGAACGAATACCAAGACCAGAATGGTCTTAGTAAATTGACTTACCTTGATTGAATCCCTCACAGAGGGAAAGGGATAGGGGAAGGAGGGAGGGGAGGGGAGGGGAGGGGGAGGAAGGGAGAATGTTTTGAGGGGAGAGTAGTTGGGTAGATGGATGGTGATGCTATCCAGAGCGGACGGGACGGGCGCAAGATCCAATCAGCCAATGGCGGCAGTGGCACGGGGTCTGGCTGTCAACAACCGCCTTTACCGGTCGTGACGGGTTACCGTAACTTACGCCCGAGTCCCCCGTGGTCTTGCGGCCTGAGGTTGCCGATCGTCAACAGTCCAGAATAACATCCTCTGCCTGGGCAACAACAGTCAGATGCCATCCATCCATCTATCTATTCATCATATGCTACTAGCTACTGCATAGATTCTATCACTCTGCATTTGATTTGCTATCCCGCATTCCCTAGATGCTTATCCAGACCACGTAAGTACTTCCCTTTTTGCCTGAACCATGGAACTGAACTCTATATTCTATACTAGTTCCCTCTTTTTTTGGAGCGTCAACATATGATCCCCGACTCACTAGTGCGCTTCCATTCAGATGACCACCCCAGCCAGGTGAGGTCTACTAGTAGTAGACTATCTCTCTGGTGTCACCCCACGATTGGTCTGTTGTCTGGTCGGCCGCCAGTGAACATTGCGCACCAATCAGATGGCCATTAGGCATCCCAAGAGCATTCTCGGATCTGATAGGACTGCTGGCGACCATTGAACGGTCGCAGTCGCGGTTGCGATTATAATCTTCTAAGCCTATAAAACCTAGAACTACATCCAGACCACACTTTACTATTCGAAGCTTGTCGCAAGGTTGTTGCCTTCAAACATCGCCCATGATTTAGCACAAACAAGGCCTCCCCACGGACGCTGCAAGACCTGAGGTCCACCCAAATGCTTGAATGCCAGCTTTCATATACACACTTCACTCTCGATTCTGGCGCTCCAACACGAGCATCAGAACGTGGAGCTCGCGTCCGTAAGCGTTTGTGGTGACGATCCTTATGATATCCGCAGAATAACATTCATCTGCATATGATTCTGCTCAACCCAGATCTAGCTTGTGACAACGACTGATAGTGTTTGGTACTAACAAACAACCTACTGCGTATTGAGGTATGTCTCAGAATGCTCGTCCAAATTTAGAATTCATAGATCAAGCTCGATTCATTGACCTAAACCGTGGAAAAGGTTTGGAATATAGTAATCTAGGTGAATACCCAAACTATCAGCCAAATGTCCTGTCTTATATTGTAAAATTATTTCCCTGGACTTTGTCAAATGCGAGAACCAACTTCTCAAATCGTAATGTTATCCACCTGGCCTTCAGGGTGCATACAGCCCGGTACCTCAGCCATACAGTATGTTTGAACTGGCTTCCCGTAATGATCGAATTTGATACATAGAGATCATCCCATCTGAAACAAGGGTCTAAAATTGCCTAATGTGATGCCTCCGAATATGAAAAGAAGGACAGAAACACATCAATAAAACAGTATTTGAACTCAATACCATCATAGGACGACTAGCTTCCAAGTACTTAAAATAAGCAATTTCCGGAGACAAACTAAACTTGCATCGTGACGATATTTCAGTTGACAGTAAATCCCCTGGAACAGGCAATTCTAGTAGCTTATTTTGGCTACTACCACCAAGATCTATTTTGCAATGAAATATGTCCTAATACCCTTCGAATCGCCGAACCCTGCGTAGTCCTTGCTTTAACCAAGGAACGACCCACTAAAGAGACGAGATTCCAGCTTCTTTTGTTGTTCTTCATGGTGGATTCCCCACGTGCTGGGCATGAGCTACCACTTCACTGGCAATTCATGTTGCTTTGACATTGACTTGGAATTGTCAGTCGTCAGGTGAGTTGTAGATCAATCAAAATGAATGACTGAATCGTGGTAGCTATCAAGGCTCTAGTGAAGATTGTTTAGCTTGCTAGAATACTAGAAAGGATAAACTCGAAAGAGATCTGCGTAATCGACACGCAGACGGGACTGTTCCATTCACACATCACATGGAAAGTACATAAGGTAGAAGCCTGGAGATGACCTGGACGATGGGTAGCAGGCAGGCTTCGTTGAGACTTCAGATCGGTGGGCTTGGTGTATTGAATTGGACTCATCAAAGCTACTATAGGGTCGATAGATGCTGAGGTTTCCCATTCGTGGATGGATTGCACGGTATCATTCATTTTTGGTTGAGTACTTGATTGAATTGATGGAGGCTACAAAAAGTTGTAGGTATGGGGGAATGAGACAGTATCTTAAGCAATGTTTGGTGATTGTAGTGTGGCTTCTGAAGAGTGTGATATTCAACAGTATTATCAACAGTACGTTGTGACACTTGGTAACCACCCTCCAGCTTCTGCCCTCGATGAACGCATCTCCCTCACATGAATATAGGCCATTGCACATTCTGTAGATGGACAGTGAAGTCGTGAACTGACTAGCCCTTGTGCTTGAACCACCACACCAACTGAGGGCACAACATGGTGCACTGTGAGCACCCTGGCGGGTCTGCTGGAACAGTTTTCTTCCTTCTGACTCGCTGGGACAACCCTGAGCCATGACTGGCCCAGTGAGAGTCCATTCACTTCTTCTGTTATGATCTTAAAGCAACACGTGGCCCAGCACTTCCCCCCCAAAACATCTCCCTCTGACGCTAACGCTTCTTGGTTAGTCGCTTCTTATACCCTCAGTTATCATAGTAACTAGGCTATCACGAGAGCTCGTTTGAAGATTTCGATCGGTATTAGTGTCGCTTGTTAAACATTCTCTGTCTCGAATCTTGAGATCTGGTTGAAGCAGACTGGTTGACAAGATGCCGGCCATCGACAACGCTGAGGTGGAGAGACGTATTGCTGACGCCCTGCAAGAGGCCAAAGACGCTAGGCTGCGTCTGCCTGAAGGTCTGATGCCTCCCATACATCTCGTATCATTCTGCTCACATACCACCAGCCCAGAACGATGCCGCAAACCTGGAGGCCACCAGCAAGCTGAAACTAACCAAGTTCGACAAGCAAGTTGCTACCGTGCTTGACGTTGTTAGACCCCTTGAGTGGACCATTGAGAACGGCCAACCCGTCGAAAGACGTATCAGAGACAGAGAGGCTGTCACCGCGGCTTTACTCTACCGTCGAGGAGAGGAGGTTGAGCGATGTGACAGGTGCCAGACCCTCGGCCCCCTTGCTAAATGCATCATTTCGCCTAGCCTTGGTGGCCGAGCCCTGCACAGGGCGGCCTGTGCAAACTGCATATTTTACCATCAGGGCACGTATTGCCCCCACAGATTGAAGTTCGAGAAGTCAAAGGGTGAGATGTGGACCGAGAGTGATACACAGTAAGTCCTCCGACACCAATGTGGGATTTTGGCTAAGAGCGGATGTTCCAGGCTTGTTCTTCCGAACGGTGGCTTGCGACAGACCCTGGCGCAAACTGGCGAAGACGGATTCGATTTTTTGCGCGTAAATGATGAAGATTCAACCTCAAAGGCCCAGGAATTGGGCGACTCAAGTGCTCCCAATAACTCATCTGCAGCACATCAATCGGATGAATCTGCGCCCGCTGGCATGACCCCGTCATCTGAAGAGCAGGATAACCTGCCAACGGGCGCCAACAGCAACAGCAACAACTGGTCAAGTTGCGTGGCAGACGACATGCTCACCATGCCACTGTCGTCTGCCACGCAACTTGACCAGTTGTTGCTGTTGCCATACCCCCCCGCCGACACCTTGGCAGGGGGGCCAAGCTATCAGTTTCTCTCCTCGCAAGATATGCCAGAAGATGACAGCCATATCTTGCCACAGTCGTCCGCCACGCAGATTGAAGAGGAGCTCTGCCCATACCCTCCCGCCGGGGATTGCTTTTTGGCTCAGGTACCCGAGCAGGTTGAGTACAGCATCGAACACGAGCCCCAGAAGAACAAGCAGGAATAAGCTTGTTCTTCTGAGGCTCGTGTTCGGTTGCTGTTTTGAGTTTCTTTCATTTCATTTTTGTTTTCTGTTTTGTTTTCTTTCTTCTTTGCCTTTCTTTTATCTGACTCGAATGTTAGCATGTCCTTATGTCCTTGAAGATGCAGAGTGTTTCCTTTTATACCTGAATTTGATGGAAGACAGAGCCACCACTGAGTTTGTATGGGATGGCAAGTGATGGGGCGAGATGGAGAGAAGAATCTCAGCTGGAGAGGATAAGAAGAGACATCGAAGTGTGAAGTGAAGAGGAATGAGTGTTGCGAACAGTGAAGAGGCAGACGCGCTTTTTAAGACTACAGCCGAAGAGCTGCGGGCACGGGCCACAACCACGTGATGATTTGTGAACACACACGGCAGCGACTCACTCACTCACTTTCTCCTGCCACGCCGTTCTGTTCTCCCGGAGCTGTGCTCCTGCTGATTGCTTTCGCCCCTGTTGAAGCTCTTTTCACTACTTGAGTTCGAAGAACCTGCTTTCGGCAAGTCTTACTCCCGCGTGTGACCTTCCTCTTGTATGTATTCCTTCTCTTTTATGGCCCTCACGACCCCAGTGTTCTGGCTTAAGATCCCGCCACAACCCGGGGCCCCCAAGGCATACACCAGTCGTGACGCTATATCCACGCACACATTGGATCCCGGTTCCCGTCCCTGTCTTAAGAAGGTGCTTCCACGCACTCGCTGGGGCCCCCCATTTCCACATGGACACGATGACCTCCTATTCTTGATCTTTTTCCTGCTCGCGCTATCCTCTGTCCCAATAAGAGTCATGGATCTCTGTCTGATGACGCTGATGTGTCCTGCCAGACCCTCTCTTCCCCACCATCTGTCACCATGGCGGATCCTACCGATCTGAACCTGGATGCACCCAGTGACTTACAAGATATTCCGGACATGTCCATGCAACTACTTCCCCCGCCTGAGGGGACATATCCTGATAAGTGAGTTTGGCCCCGTTCACTCCCTCTCCTCCTTTTCCACCCTCTCTGTGTCCCTTGCCACACGTCGGGTAGCGGATCGGTCCGCTGTGGCTCCATAGTGGATCTGATAACTCACATCGTGGTGATCTTCCTTAAAGGGCGACGCTTCTTGCAGCAGTGCAGGCACACGGAAAAGCTCATGGATACAACGTCGTAGTCAAGTCGTCCAGCACTCCCACGGAAAAGAAACCGGGGCGGACTGCCAAGGTCTGGTTGCGATGCGATCGCGGGGGCCACTATCGCCCGCGCAACGGGCTCACTGAGGAAACTAGGAAGCGGCGGCGCACATCCCGGTTGATGGATTGCCCGTTCATGCTAGTTGCAGCTGGAACTCCTGGGATTTGGACGCTGACTGTTCTGAATGCCACACACAATCATGGCCCGATTGTCGAAAAGCCTCGGCAGGTCCCTCATCATAAGGTCCGGAAGGGCCAGATCGCAGCGGTACCCTACGATTGGCCGCACGATGCGACGCTGACCCCTTATACGACGGCGTTAGTAATTATTGACATGCAAAAGGACTGTGCGTATGATTCCATGTGGTCGTGTGGGTCCTGGCTGAGCTTTTTACTAATGGGATGCCAACGCAGTCTGTTTGCCGGGTGGATACATGAGCCTTCAGGGCTACGACATATCGGCTAATCAGGCACTAATTCCTAAATTACAACATCTGCTGAATGCATTCCGTTCATCCGGTTTTCCCATATACCACACTCGGGAAGGTAGGAGAAAGTCTCGACATTCCCTCTCTTTTCCTATCGATTACTGACGTCGTCCAGGACATCGGCCCGATTTGTCGACGCTGTCTAGTAGAGAGGCCTACCGTTCACAAAACAATGCTTCTGGCATGGGGATTGGATCTCCCGGACCCCTAGGCCGTCTGCTGATACGTGGCGAGGTGGGTCACGACACCGTTGACGAATTGTACCCAGTTCACGGGGAACCGGTAATCGACAAACCAGGCCGGAGTGCGTTTGCACACACCGATTTCGAACTCATCCTTCGCAATCGCGGTATTAAGAACCTGGTGTTAGTGGGTGTAACGATCGATGTGTGCGTTGCGACGACTATGCGCGAGGCCAACGACCGAGGCTTTGACTGCGTGGTGCTTGAAGACGGAACTGCAGCCAGCGAACCGTCCCTTCATGTGAGTGCCATCGAGTCAATTAAGATGGAGGGAGGCATCTTCGGGGCAGTAGCCAAACTAGAGGACGTGATGCACGCAGTGGAGAACTTCAAAGCCGTGACTGTGAAGAAGCTGGCACCGCAGATGACGGTATGATGGGTGGCGTGGGGATGGTCCAACTTTTGCCTTTTTCTCTTTTACCTCTTTGCTACTCCCCGCCCACAGAGGCCTTCTGACTTTATCGGAATCAACATTGGGGTATCATTCAGCGCTATCAAAATCGGAGGAACGATCTGCCACTGGGATAGAGGAGTCATCATCAGGACGGACAAGGACAAGAAATAGTAACGAAGCTATGAATACGATTTATGGACATGCATACATTGAATATGAATCTGGTATCTTCCAAACACCATGTACAGAGAGTAGTAACCACTAAACGCCTCAACCCAACCAAAACCAACCCACAGCCGCATCAAATCAAACCACAAATAAATCAACCCTATAACCACTTCCTCCCCGCAGCCGTAACCCTCCCCCTAAACACAGGACTCTTAATCTCCATCCCCTGCCTATAAAACGGACTCATCACGGTCTTCACATAATTCTCATAAACCTCAGTCATAAACTGCCGCACCGCCTCCTCCGTCTGCGGCGACGTCGGATTATTAGCTATCGAGCTCGCCGACGCGCGCGACGACCCGCCCGCAGACCCCAACAACAACGACCCGGACATCGACCCGCCCATCGAACCACTCCCACCGGCCCCCTGACCGCTATTCGAAGCTAATTGCGGCGGCTGATGCAGAAGAAGGAACCTTGCCCCGGTGGGGGTCAAGAACGCGGAGATGTATGCTGATGCGGGGGGGTAGGTGTCGATGTGTTTGAGGTACCTGCCAGACATCAATCATTATTAGCATGCGCTTTCAATTTCCACATATAGTGACCATATATGAAGAAAGGGACATACATATTCCCATTCATCCACTGCGCCTCCTCAACAATATCCAAACTCGAATGGATAATAAACTGGTTCATGTACTGCGCTGTATCCGGGAATCGGAACCGGGCGATCCCGTCGCCCCCGGACTTGGATGTACCGAAGGCGATGTTGAATAAGGGGACATCCGTCGGGGAGAGGATCGTGAAGTAGTAGGACATTTTGATTGATTGCCTTTGTGGCTTTCCGGGGTTGTGCTGTGTTGTTGCGGGCCACTAACTACGTATTTACTTGTGTCTTTCGGGGAATCGGAGATGGGGGCAGCAGGCCAGGGGAGTACAAGTAATGTGTCACGTGTGATAAGATAAGAAAATCAATTTCGGGAGGGTTAAGGGTAGGTAGTAGGGGTCCACGTGACGTGCATCATGGGTTCCTACTAGCTTCATCTTTCATCTCCTTCCTCATCTTCACGGAAGATATATATCAATTCGGCTAGGAAAACAACGGGATAATATGCCTCCCCCAAAGCTAGGCTTCGGCCTCAACCCCCCCTCCAAACCCACCTCTCGACCTAACCCCCCCGCGCCGAAACGCAAGAAACCTATCTTCGGCGATGACTCCGACGACGATGAACCCCAATCTACTACCAGTGTCAAGAAAGGCCCTAGAAGCGGCAGTGGCGGCGACAGCGGCGCAATTGAAATCACGACAATAGGCGGCCTCGACGATCTCACTCCTACCAACAACGAAGAAGAGGAAGCTCGCCCCGCGAAACGCAAGCTCCTCGCTCCCGGCGCATCATCATCATCCGGCGCACCCAAACCGCCGAACATGAAACCGCTCAACAAGAGCTCTATATTCGCGGACGCCTCCGACGGAGAAGGAGAAGCAACAAACACCCCCACCTACGGCCTCAACACCTCCAACAGCAGCAAACCCAAACCCAAATCCAAAGACCTCGACACCACAAAACACTACACGAACTTATCCGCCCTCCACAGCAGCCGAAAACACGCGGCCGAAGCCTCCGAACTCGACCCGACAATCTACTGCTACGACGCGGTGTACGACAGTCTACACGCGAAACCCAACAAGGACAAAAACGCCTCGGACGTTAGCGAGAGCGGCTCGACAGTGCCGAAATACATGACGTCGTTGCTGCGCAGCGCGGAGATCCGCAAACGGGATCAAATGCGAGCGCGGGATCGTCTGCTCGCGAAGGAGCGCGAAGCCGAGGGCGACGAGTTCGCGGACAAGGAGAAGTTCGTGACGGCGGCGTATAAGGCGCAGCAGGAGGAGTTGCGACGGGTGCAGGCGGAGGAAGAGGCGCGGGAGAAAGAGGAGGAGGAGAGACGGAAGAAGAATGGGGGGTCTGGGATGGTGGACTTTTATCGGGATATGTTGTCGCGTGGGGAGGAGAGGCATGAGGCTGTTGTGAAGGCCGCGGAGGAGGCGGCGAAGAAGGTGAAGGAGGGTGGTGGTGTGGGTGAGGAGGAGAAGGAGGAAGGGGAGAAGGAGAAGAAGGAGAAGAGTGAGGCGCAGATGGCGGAGGAGTTGAATGCGAAGGGGGCGCATATTGCGGTCAATGATGAGGGTCAGGTGGTGGATAAGAGGCAGTTGTTGTCGGCGGGGTTGAATGTCGCGCCGAAGCCGAAGCAGACGCAGAAGGAGAAGGATGCGGCGGCTGCGGCGGCGTCGAGGGCTGCGGTGCAGGCTTCGAGGTTTGGGGCGCAGAAGCAGGCCGAACGGGGTGGACAGCGTGCGCGCCAGACGGAGATGATTGCGTCGCAGTTGGAGGAGCGGGCGAGACAGGAGGAGGAGGCCGAGGCGGCGCGGCAGAAGGAGATTGCGGAGCGGAGTCGCAGTCGCAAGACGGAGGGGGATGTCATGAGTGCGAAGGAGAGGTATTTGGCCAGAAAGAGGGAGCGCGAGGCTGCTGCGAAGAAGGCGTGATTGTCTACTTTGTGAGTGGTAGATTGCATATAGTTGGCGTTGGGTATGGATCCTGTATAGTGTATGATATAATGAATGATTGGCGGTTATACTGGAATGGTATGATTCTTCGGGTACTTAAATGGTAGTGGCAATATCTCCCTCTGTATTACGGGGCGAACCAGCAAGTGGACTCGTAGTGAGACAGTATATATGGTCTTTCGTTACTCGTTTCCTAATCATAAACCTAACGCCAGGAATGCTATCTCTTGACTAAGTGTTCTAGTATAAGAATGCGCTGCATCTTGAAATACTTTTACCACCAACGCCGTTTAGTATGACTATGCGGTCAGGGCGAAACTGAGCCCCATCAGAACCATTCCTCCGATAGCGAACCCAGTGCACATTCCCCGATTGTGAGTTAGGGTAAGGCCTTCGCTGAACAGCTGCAGAGCAACCGAGATCATGACGCCCGCCGTCGCGGCAAACATACCGCCGTAGACACCCCAGGACGGGCCAGCGGCGTCGTCGCCATTAGCACGCCGAGCACCCCAGATCCAGAGAGCTGCCAGCGCAGCGCCTGCAGGTTGGCTGATGCCACCTAGCAAGCTTGACCAGAACATGGCCCAGCCGCGCGAATGCAGCGCGAGATACAGTGGTAAGGCCATGGCGAACCCTTCGCTGATGTTGTGGATGAAAAGAGCCAAGAAAACCGTGAGACCTAAAGTCGGGCTCGCATGGTTCGTGGCATAGGTGATAAACCCCTCCGGCAACTTGTGCAAGGCAATTGCTATAGATGTCTGCAGACCGATGGAGAGAAAGGCGTTCTGTGGCACATGGTGATGGTGTTGGGGATTGGGTGGCGGCTTAGTCCCGTCTTCAGGCGCCACATCCTGGTCGTCAAGAAGACCGGTCCGGGAAGAAGAGGAACTCGCCTCTTGACGTCGAATTTGCGAGGATGGCAGGTTTGCCTCCAGATCATCTAGTCGTGCCGAGTCCACTTGCACGGATATGCTGTGGGGGTGCGGCAGCGGCGGGCGCACGGTGCCGTCATCCAGGACAGAGATTTCCGGTCCCTCGAGGGTCTTGGTGCATTCGTGCCCGCACGCCTGCGAGAAGCCAAAACAGGGACCATTCTCATCGCAATGAGATTTGACTCCGCCAACCAGACGACTAATGCGTCGTGTCAAGCGGATATGCAGGGATTCCCTTCGCACAAGTGCGCCGGGGTCTTCACCAGCTGCGGGGACGGTCACAGTGGCCGGGGAAGACTTGTGAGTCAAAAGAGGAGTTCGCTCATTCAGATGGTTAGGGCCGTGGGAGTGTAAATGACCGTCTGGCTTGCCCCCGTGTTCATGATCAGAGGTGGGGTGTGGCTCATGGGTATGAGCACAATCGACGACATGTGACGGTATGTAGCGATGCAATAGTGCCGATGCCAAACGGATGATGACCGCGCCCGCCAGAAAGAGACCGATAAGCACGTATGCAGCAAGCGAGGGGGACAAGCCAGCTCGAGTCAGGTACCGATGAGAAGTAGGCAGCATGCTATAGAGAGAAGTGTAAAGCTAGCGCGGTCAGCATGGTACCAAAGTTAGGGTCAACTGGTCAGAGAGATATACCATGACGCCCGCGCTCAGACACAATGACGCAGATAAGAAGCCATTGTTATGGACGATCTGGAAGCTTTTGCGGCGAGACAATCGCCGTAAAACAAGATCCACACAAATGACGGCCGATCCCAAGACACAGGCTGGATTATGTTAGCTAGCGAAACTTAAGTACTATACAGAAGAAAGACTTACCCACGCCTGATACGGCGCTCATGACCCAGCCTCGTAGGTCATTGCTGGCAGCCATGATGAATAGAAGGCGAGAATGCCAGCAATTAATACCAGCAATTAATGCCAGCAAAAAGATACTGACGGGGAAGAAAGAACGAGACTTTTCAAAGGGGAAAGGAAAGAGAGTTTGGGGGAGCCTTGGATTTCATGATATCATGTCACGCGGCGGGCGATTAGATAACCTGGGGACCTTGCGGGCAACAACGCTGCTTTGATCCAAACAGCGGCTTTGTTCCTCTTGAACTTCTTTCTTTTTCTCCCCTTGCCTGCAGCCAACGAATCGCCCTTTCACTGCGTCTCTGCAGCGCCGTTGGGGAGGCTCATCGAGGAGCCACTCGGGCGAGGTTTAAACTACCAAGTCTTAAAGAAGATGATAATACGCTGCTCGGAGCCCCGTCCCCCTCCCGAGCCCCTTGTACAACTCATCGCGCCTTCAACGCCCCTGTCCGCTAGCCGCCCTACCACCAGACTCCAAGGTCCCCAGGCTAATTTTTCATCGGGCCATGAGCTGCAGCAACGAAATCGGTCATGGCGAGTCACGTAGCAGTACGTCTAAACTTACGATATATTGCCAGGGCAAGGGCCAGGCAACAGCCCTGAATGGCTCGGAGTCCGTGCTAAGCGTATAGTAGTATGTACGTCCTCGCTGGAAGTGAGCCCATGCATGCAACGCGCAACATGGTTGGCGGTATGGGAGCTGCAGTTCTTCTGCTAGAGCGGAAGGCGTAAAGTAGACTTTACCTTACGGTCCTGCTCACGAAAGTTGTAACGTGGTGTAGACTGCCAGCTATCGAGGACTAGACTTCTACTAGACGTCTGATTTACCTCGGAGGCTGAGTTCCATTATTCGAAACTGCTAGCAAATTGCCGCGGAAGGCATCTCTCGTGCAAGCGAATTATCTTTTCTGGAGACACACGTCCGCTTTGCAGTAAAAATGCATGATCCAAAAGCCGGGGTGCTGTTCACGTTATATGCCACAGACGTACCTAATCATGCGTTCTAGCGAAAGAAACGTAGTATCCAGAGATTGTGGCACACTTGGACCTTGATCAGACACGCTTGGCCTTAAACCAGTCTGACGGTAACCTTAGTTGAATGCTTCATCCCCAAGGAGAAGCGCACACTCGCAAAAGCTAGATGACATGGCTGCGAGGGCAGGTTTTTCAGCGTTGCCGGACGCATTAGCGTGGGACTATGGGGCGTAAGAGGATCTGAGGGCCGCATGAATGGTCGGCGCGAGTTAGCCTAAGATTTTAGTTGATCGTCAGTCACCAGTAGCACTCCAGATTCCAGTCATGACAGCCGTACCTCAGGATGGCACATCCTTCCCAGTGGTCAATGCCTCTGAGTAGCTTTGAGAGCCAAGACTCTAGGAAGCATTTATAGTTCTTCTTCTTGGTACATGTCAGACCCCAAATCTTGAATCGGAACCCCAAGTACCATTTATTTGACTCTAAATGACGGAGTCTGTTGAAGCAGAAGAGTGTCATTCTTGCCTGTGGCTAGTCATCTGTGTATGACCCGTCAAACGTGGTGAGATAGTTGTTGACAAGAGAAGAATATCCATGCTCGCTATCTTTCGAATGGCCGATTGTGTATGACTGACGCAGTGGCTCTCTAGTCCATGGCTCTCCTGCAGACTGATCTCCCCTGCACAATTATCAGATAAGCCTGTACCTGCTGCCACTGTCCGGAGAATATAGAAGTGGTACAAATGCAACCGCATGAGATATCAAACACCTGTTGACAAATCATGAAGTAATTGTCGGAGAAAAGTCAGTAGCCAGGAGAGAAGAAGAAAGCTACTAAGACGAGCCAAGTTGATATAACAACGTGGATTATGCCCCGAGCAGTGCAATCACGCAAGCCGCAGTGTCCAGAGACATTGTCGCACCGGCCAAACCAGCCATGAATAAAGTGCAACGTGAAAGGCACCCAAAGTCTATCCCTCGGCGTCGAGTGACGTACAAGGGGGCTCCGTCACATGATGGCAGGCAACCAGCACTAGAAAAGCACCAGTTAGATTTGATCAAAGACACTTCCCCTCTCAACTTGGGCTACACATGCATCAGAATCAATTACTCGGAATCGTCACTTTGCTAGCAAGAAAGTCTCCTCATCTCCAATATAAAAGCACCCTCAATCGCCGCCCCCAGACCGACTCGAGGATTGTTTCCATCTCCATCCTCTTCTCCCTCTATCATCTTTATTCCTAAGTAGGTACGCTCCAAAGCACAACATCAAGCAATAATGTCTCCCATTCAATCTCTTGGTAAACTCCTGGTTCTGATTCTTGTCTCTTCAAGCTCCGCCATGTCTCTCACTCGCTACACCGCACCCATCCCCCAGGGCGCAAAGGTGGTCGAGACGCGTGAGCAACTCAACCAAGTAGTCCGGGAAAATCCCGAGACTGTCCTGTATGATCAGGATGGTGGCTACATGTTGAAAGATGAGAGCGGAACCGTGATTGCCATAGCTGCAGATTCTTTGTGTCCCGAGTTGGACCAGGCCTTGGCTGAAGTCGAGGCCCTGCAAGCAGAGACGAAGCTGGCTGGCAATGCCGGAGACCAAGGTGATACCAATACCAACAAGAGAGACCTTAATGATGTTCAGGACACTAATCGTCCACTTCGTTGTTCTCACCCTAGATGCTTCAATTCCGCCATCTGCCTGACCTATACTGATTGTCACGTCTGTTTGCGACAGCACCACTGTATCTGAGGTGGTTGATACACGGTGGGGTTTGGAGGGGTGGGAGGAGCTTGAGATAAGGAGGATTTGCGAAGAATGGGATTGAAGGATGTGTTATAGTGGACTATTTGGATGAAGGAGGGGCGATGTATGAATGCATATGCAGACTGGGGCAGAGATCGTTGTCAATGGCTTGCTTCTTAGCAGTGACCTGCTCGATAATTTGATGCACTTTGATCTTCTTGCAATATGCGCGTAGCGTTATAGTGATGTAAGAACATAGAAGGGATTGCCAGATTGTTAATGCATAGCCAAGCGAAGATCATTACTACACCTGAGAGACGCAAGTCAACCTCAGCATGTCTTCTACATTAGCTACAAGAACAACTATGCGCACCGCATATACATGAAGACAACCTTAAAGCCTGCTGAATACAAGCGACGGAAAATGAACATGATCGTGCCTACAGCCCAGTCACAGATAGTTCGCCCATCATAAATCCTATACAATATCCTATAATAGCACTATGTACACGAAAGACGCATCAACAAGTAAAGAAAATGAGTCGGACTGCTCTCAGCAAGACATCTTAGATTTCACATTCGTTCTTCCTATTTCCGTCCTCAGCAAGATGAATTCCAAAACATCGTCTCAGCCATGGGCATCTCAAGGAATATTCATATGCAAAAGCTCCTCCCAAAGCTTGTTGAAGTCGTCCCAGGTCATGTTCGAGGCTTCCTCGGGGGTAGTCCTTGCATAGACGATGTGCGCGTAGTTTTTCCCTTCCGAATGTCGCATTGAGAGTCGCGAAAGCAGAATGCAAGTAGCCTGAAGAGGCGAGATAAACGTTGGATCCAGCTCGTTGCATGATGAAACTATTCTTGCCAACAACTCAACGTCATCCTTGTATAAACCATGGGGAGCGCTTTGGCTAAAGTCCATCAGACCCCTGTACCGTATCACCAAATTTTTAGCAATGGGAGTCGAGGCGATTTTGAGGCATGTCTTTAATAGGACGTCGGCATATTCCGTGGCCTGCGGCGTAAAGCGAGGATCGAAGATATATCCCTTTGGTATGTTGTGAAGTATGTAGATTTTGACGCAATCTGATAGATATTTCCAGTTCTCCCAGGTGGAGGAATCGTCCTTAGGAGGATGAGGGAGTTCAAGATTGACAAGGTCTTGTAAATGCCATTTCTTGAGCTTTCCCCGGACTTGAACGTACCACTGATGCACACTGTCCATGGTCAGGTCAAAGTCGATTTTATCTGCTAGTATTTCGTCTTCTGACGTGCTGATTTTCCGGACGATTTCCACATTGATGCGGCGTGCCTGTGTATATTCCATGATTATGGGATGAAGAAGGATGGTGCAAAGCGGAGACTGTGAGAGAAAAGAGTAAACGGATGATAGATGCCATATTCTGGGAATGAAAGTTGATTAGAATACATAGCCTCAACTAGTAGAACGGGTTGATTCAATGCTCACTACTAGGCTGCTCGGGAATTGCCTGTTTAGAGTTGGGATGCTTCTAGATCGACTGCAGGGAATTTCCTGTCCTTCACTGAGCCTTGGCCAGTAACCTTATAGCTGCAGGGAATGCTATGTGGAGTTCGGGGCGTTTCATCATGGTCAGTAGGTCATCTGCACACGGTGATCATCCGACCAGCGTGGCATCGAAGCTGGCATAGCATATAAAGAAGTCTCGAAGCAGCTGTTAGGGAATTTCCGGTCATTCCCTTTGCATATCTTAGCCCACACACAGTCGCCAGTGGCAGTTGCACTCCTCCAGACAAGTGAAGACCAAATTTACCAGTGACACGGTGTTTGTAGATTACCCTTTTGGGACCATTCAGGCTATACTTCCCGATCATCTGATTGCCGCCCGCTGATTGGTCTCCGCTTCAGCATCAATTTTACTCTCTTCGGCAATCCACTTTTTTCTCCGTCCCGATTCTATCCATCTCTTCCATCCTTATCCTTCCTCTCCTCTCCTCCTCCCCTTGGACATCCTCCCTCCCTCCATCGCCGCCAACCATGTCCAAGGCCACCTTCGCGGCCATCGCCGCCGCCAGTGCCGCCACGGGCGCCGGTCTGACGGCTCTCTTCTACTCTCCTCGACCCCAACCACAACAGCAGCAGCAACCACTCCCCCAACAACAACTCCCTCCACACCCTCCGACCACCACCACCTCCAAACTCCCCGCCCCTCAACCCGCCGCTCCCTCTCTCGCCCCCAAACCCACCCCAACCAGCGGCTCCCCCGTCGACCCAGCCGGCATCTATCAATATGGCTTCCCCGGTCCGGTAGCCGACACTCTCCTCTCGGCGCCCCTAGCCGGCGCCTACGACCGTCGCACACGCAACCCATCCTGGGTGGCCGAACACATCACCCCGCAGTCCCTGGCGCAAAAGAACGCCGACCGCAAGGGCAGCACATTCTTCGAAGACACCACGATCCCGCCGCTATTCCGCGCTAAACTGTCCGACTACTTCCGCTCCGGCTACGATCGCGGCCACCAGGTGCCCGCCGCGGACGCCAAATGGTCGCAGGACGCCATGGACGCGACGTTCGCGCTGTCGAACATGTGTCCGCAGGTCGGCGAGGGATTCAACCGCGACTACTGGGCCCACTTTGAGGAGTTCTGCCGGGACTTGACGAAGAAGTACCCCTCCGTGCGCGTGGTTACTGGTCCTCTTTACCTGCCTCACCGCGACCAGGATGGAAAGTGGCGTGTCTCGTATGAGGTTATTGGAAACCCGCCGAATGTTGCTGTCCCGACCCACTTCTACAAGGTCGTGTATGCGGAGGAGGGTCCCGCTACGGCGGGTAAGGTTGCGCTGGGTGCGTTTGTGCTCCCTAATGCTAGGATCTCGAATGATAAGCGCTTGACGGAGTTTGAGGTGCCGCTTGAGGCTGTGGAGCGGGCTAGTGGTCTGGAATTTGCGGCCAAGTTGGATGCTGGACGCAGGAAGAGACTTTGCCAGGAGGTTAAGTGTGATGTTGTCGTGAGGGAGTTTAACAATGCCAGCAAGAAGAAATAGATCTGGTTTGGTGGTGTAGATTGAGATATGGAGGGTTTGTGGATAGTGAGTTGGAAGGGAAGGGGTTTCCTTCATTTGTATTGTAGACTTATCATTATTCCCTTTGCATGGCCTGGGATATCATTAGGTCGATTTCGGCTCTGTATAGATTGACATTGCATCTATATATGTATACATATTGATTGCACATGATGTGTTTTACCCGGGTCGTATAGATATAGATATAGATATAGCCATAGCGCTGTCTAGGCAGCCTGTTGATAACCCAACTTCTGCGCCCCAACGCGGCTTTCATACACACACACACACACAGAACCCATCAACCACTCACCAACTCCACGCCAAACCAGACTCGCAAGCAGACCATATCAACATTGAAACGCAACCCCCGACTTAGTCGCAACATTCCCGCCTCTCCCCGCAAACCCTGTCCCTTCGGAGCTCACCTCCACCAAACCAGGCTTGATCCCCTCCTTGTCCTTCTTTTTCTTCTTCCCTGACGACGCAGAATCCTTGTTACTGTCATTTGACGGCGTAACATCCGTCTCGCAGACGTAGCATAGAATTCGCCCATGCAGGGCAGCGGTCTGCTCCTGTTCTTCTTTCGAGGCGTGCGGGTCCGGCGCATCGTGCGGAGTCATGAATTTGTTGACGCATGGTTGGCAGATGACATGGCCGCAGGGTTTCGTTACTGGATGTAGTAGAACTAGGTTAGTATTCACGTTGAGGAAATATGCAGTGGGTAAGGTGTTAATCATACGCATTGCTTTGAGCCCGTTCGTCAGTGTTTTCTTGCAGCTTGGGCAGACACGGGCCGGGGAGCCATCGGAGGTCTTCTCTTCGGTGAAGTGCACCTCGACTAAGGATTTGAGGGAGTAGCTGTGGCGGTTAGAGTCAGTAGAAGCAGGGCATATAGGTGTTAGTTTAATGGTTTTGTTGGCCGCGATTTCGTTCGGATCGGTGGTGGGTGTGAGAGAGGGGACCCAGAAGGATGGTAGGGCTGATTTGTTTGCTTCCTGGGGATGGTCAGTGAGGTTCTTACCAAGGAGGGTGGACAATAGTAGTAGACCTTTTCTTTCTTCAACTCATTCTTTAACCGTTCCTGCTCCTCGCGCGCAATTCTAGCCATCTCTTTATCATCCAACTCGAACACCTTCTTCCGCTTCCCGTCCACTTCTACCTCTCGCGCCTTGAAAGCAGCCAATGCCTCTGAGGTATCTGCTTTGCGTTTCTTAGAGCTCTCGTCGTTTTGTGATTGGCTTGACCCGTTGTTCTTCTTCGCTGCTGCATCTAACCCCATGCTCACTAGTTCGAAATCACGGAGTTCCCGTGTTCGCGCTTCATCTAATGCCCGCTCCTCCTCCTCTGCAAGACGCTTTTTGGCTTCATCGCGTTCCTTTTCGAGACGCTTGATCTCCTGTCGCTGGGCGAGAAGGTCGCTGATGGCGCATTCGCGACAGAAGAGATCTCCGTTGGTGGCGCAGGCGACGACGGGTTCCCGCGCCGGGTGTAGGCAGAGTCGACACGAGCCGAATGGGAGGAAAGAGTCGCGGCCGATGACGCCGCGTTTGGTGCCCCAGCTTGATTTGAGGAGATCGCGCTCGTAGGATGTAAAGTGTGGAAGAGAGGTGTTGCGCTTAGAGTGCGCCATGGTGGTGATTCTCTGCGGGGGAGGTGGATTGGTTGATGTGAGGTTATGGATGGAGCATCGGCGAGGGAGAAGATATTGCGGAGTGGGGATCGGAGGTCGGAGGGTCGGTGCGGAGTAAGTTATGTGGGTAGATGAGGGGATGAAGCTTCCGGTAACACCAATTCAAATATTCAGGGAGTTAGGTATGTGACAGGTCAAGCCAATGGCTAAAATAAAGCAAAACAAGATGGTCAAGAGGGAAGTTCAGTTGAAGGAAAGTTGAAGCTGGAGAAATCGCGGCCGACGCGATTATGTCATGCCGTCACATGCTAACTAACTATCCATCCCACAGTTCCATCTCTTCCTCTTCCATTGCTTGTCCAACTCGTTTCACAGGAGAGATACAACATAGAATTGAGACACCGGTTAAATCTAACAGAGGAGGGTGATTATGTATTGTTAGCAGTCATGATAATCAAGAACAATCCAAGCGAAACATGTCGGAAGGAGAGAGCAGTGTCACAGTTCTGAATCCTCTCATTTGATGGGTTTCTGACAGCCACAGCAGAGATAACATTCACGCTTTCTCGCCCTTCCGTGGCTTTCTTTCCCTCTGAGATGCCCTTTGGTATGGGCATTATGGTAGGTTCGCCGCTATGATAGCGAGCACGTCAGTACTCATTATGCTTCGGGTCAATTCTGAGACGAGACACTCACCAGCATTCTGTCCCTCATATACTCTCCCACCAGGCCTGTCTCATTGAGGATGCTCCAACACACATCAAAAAAGTCCTTCTCTGGGTCGGTGCAGTCGGGGTTGCGGTTAGCTGGCCCTTTCCGTGGTTTCTCTGGCTTCTTGGGCCGTCTTTTTCTCGGAGCACTCTTTGCCTTAGCCAGAGCCGGGCCGACCTCGATATCTTTGAACCCTGCACTTGCTGCCTTTTGAAACACCGCTTCTGCCTCCTCAAACCCTATTTCCATAGCCTCTAGGACCTCATCCCACCAGCTGCCAGCCATATCTTCTAGTGTCAAAGGTTTCGTGGTTTCAACGATGCAGGCAGGCTCAGTGGCCCCAGTATCCTGCGCGTCTGGGCCGGCCACAGAAGCAGCTGGGGGTTTGGAACTGGTAGATTCTGAGTTGGTCATGTTGGAGGTTGACGCGTTTTCCCATACAGGTTGATCACATTCACTGCAGGTGTCAGGTCCCCACGGACCTTCTTTGTTCTCTATTGTGGTCTTGGTTGCACCCATTTGCCCGTACTGTGTCGTAATCATGTCAAGCTCGTATGTTTCTTCAGTGTCTTCCTGTTGGTCCTCGGTATATCCGTGGTCACTAAAGTGAACCTCTTCTTCAGGATAGTCAAACATGCTCATAGGAAGGAAGACGCCGCCGTCATCGATATCCACCTGGCTTCCAGGATCGTTGCTGAAGAGTTTCTCACTTCCCTCCTCATAATAGTCACCATATTCGGCCTCATACTCGTCATCTCGCTCAACCGTTTCTATCCAGGATTCGGAATCTCGTATGGGGCTATCGCTATAATCAACGGTTTCCCACGAGTTCGTCCCGTCATCAGAGACTTCAGGTCCAACAGCATACTCAGTCGAGTCATCCATGGCTTCCCCGTAGCCGGTCATTCCAGCTTCACGATCGTCTGCAGTATGTCCCTCGAACTCTTCACCTTCATCATCAAGCGCAGCATCAAACATCGGAGGATCCGAAAGTATTACAACCGGGGGTTCTAGAATAAACTCAAAAGCTGCGCAAATCAGTTGACGACCTTCTCCTCATATCTCCAGTATTCCAGAAAAACCATTTGACTCGCCAAAACACTCACCTAACCGCTTCCTCACCCTAGATGGCGGACATTCCCACCCTCTCCGCACCGAATCAACGTACTCATCCACAGCCAGACAAGTTCCCCGGACTAGTAAGATAAACAAGACACTGACAACCCTACTCAACCAGCCAGTCCCCAAGTATGTGTCAAAACCTGCCAACAACCACAATAACAACCTAGTCAGCACGTAACGTAACCTCACCCAAACCAACCCACGCTACACGTAGGTCGCAAAAAATAAAACGAAAAAAGAGGACTTAAAAAATGAAAGTAAAACCCACGTATCGCCCAACCCAAACACGACCTGCCAATCTTATAGCCATAGTATGCAGCCACGCACACCCAGTACCCCGCGCAAACGGACCAAAGACTGATCGGGTATACCAGAATGGCAAACACAAGCACCTTGGCTTTAATCATGGTGTCTCGGATGTTATTTCGAGGCCATTGTTTGAGTCGAGATGGCCGCGTGTAAAAGGAGGTCGTGTTCATCGGTAGGAGAACTTTGAGTAGTAAGTGGTGATAGATAGTCTGGACGTAAAGTAAGTACTAGGTAGGCAACTACTCATCCAGCACCACTACCAGCACACACAAAAACAATAGAAAAGGGTAGTAGCAACAGATTCAAAATCCAATCATTAAGGAAGAAATTTTTTATCCTAGAATCAAAAAAACAAAACCAAGGCAAAAGATACAACAACTACTACTACTACTATATCCACAGTGGAACGCAGTCACTCTCCAGCACCCACCAGACCCTTCTACAACCCAGACAGCTAGTAAATATGTATCCCTCCCTAGCCCTACCCCATCTAGTCACAACAGATAATCAAGGATCCATAGCGCCCATCCCCTTCGACACAGTTATGGGATTCTACACAGCTTTAACAAGTCCAATAGTCGGGTTCCAAATCCTTGTCATGAGATGAGACGAGAAGGTATATACTACCTTACTTAGGTTTACATGTTCATTTCTACTCATTCTAGACGCAGTGCCATCTGCAGCTTTGCGATGACCTCGCTTGTGACTGATTATAGCACAGACATACTATGGATGTACCTCACGTGCTATATTTCCCTTTTCATGTAAATTTTGAGGTGAGGTCATGCTGGGTGAATGAATCATAGTGGATAGAATATATAGTACTGTATTCATCGTTGTTGGTATCACAGGTGAAGGCAAGGATTAGGATAGTCAAGTTACCTTGGCTCTACGGTGAATTGTTGACTTGACTAAGGTGCTGGTTGGGGCTGGGTTACCAAGTAGTTTCACCTCTTTTCAATTTTGTAACTGTGAATGAAGTAGCTGAAGCTGTTGTTTCTGGTTCATTTAGTAGTTCTCACTATAGCTATGCATTGAAGGCGTGTTTAGTAGTTGTGCTAGAAGTATATACTAGGACATGTATCTCACTCATCAATTTTAATTATCAGAAAGTCCATGATAATGGTGATACCATGTACAAGGTGTAACTAGAAGCCAGATCCATTTTGATCCTCAAGCTAGAAGCATCTTTCATAACTAGCTAGCTCCTATATACGAATCCAACAATTCTCCAATGTTATATCACGCCAAACATAATCGCCAGAGAGATCTCATGCACTGGTATCTCGAGTTCAACATGACAGAAGAAAAACAAAACAAGCAGTACCATGACATTTTTCCGCCCAAGTGCCTTACTCGAACACAATGCATAAGAATCCAGCCAGAGAACGACCCATCC